TCTTGGACTCACTAACATACACATTTGGCTTCGAATTTCTCACGACAGAGATTTACCTCCTCATGACAATTTACAACACCATCATTTAAGGAGATAAGTATACTTTATATCTCAAAATGTTTCACTTTACTAAAGGCACTACGCTCACGCGCTCAAGCCTCTACCAACTCCTACAACTGTCACGTCTCAGGGATTCAGTTGCCGAGGACACGTCTATATTATGATATAAGGGGATAAACACTTTTAAATTTCAAATCGTGTTTTTTGTTATTGAAAGGTTTTAATGACGGTGGCTGACTGACTTTGATATATGCACCACGGCTTCGAAATATCGTGCCGGGTGCAAAACATCCACTGACACATATAAATTACGATTACAGGATGACATATATACATATATCCTGACTGAAAATATATTAATAAACCCCGTGGTAATAATAGCGCTTGTGATGGTCTTTAAAGTGAGTCATAAATCTGGTTTTGTAATTGGCTTTGAAAATATATTAATAAACCCCGTGGTAATAATAGCGCTTGTGATGGTCTTTAAAGTGAGTCATAAATCTGGTTTTGTAATATTTTCAGTCAACTATTAAAAGCACACCGTCATATATTATTCCTAAGGAGCTTAACTGGATAAATCTCTACTAACTAAAGGTTCAAACACGCTTTAACACAATGCTGCATTGTCACTCACCCGGTAACGATGTGTCATTATAGGGTGTCATACTGAGGCGAATTTTTTTTTTTTGAGTTTGAAAAATCGGCCCATGGTATTAATGATGTAGTTCTATGTACAGAATCATGTGATATCTTCAGATTTGAAAAGTTTTTATTTTTTGCTTGGTAAATTTTAACTTGAAATCTTATGAAAATTCAGTATTCCCACCCTTTTACCAACACCACTAAATAGCTTATTTAAAGTAAAGTAAATGCATCAGGTTAATTTATTAGGATGAAAATGATCCAGAATAGTGAAACGAATGATCTTGACACATTTATTAAATTTAATATTCCTTTAGAAAACAAAATCATCAAATACAAAAACCGGTTTTACTACTACGACCCGGTGTTGCTGCACACCATAGAGAACATGTCTTTCTTGCTTCTGTTTCTACTCATCACCTCCCTGCTGACCACCTGAGCTCGGATGTAGCCTTCCCTCCTCTCCTGGCTGTACACGTGACTGCTGGCCTCGCTCACTTGCTGTACACAACGCTCTATACTCTGGGTGTGCGAGGGCCAGGCAGGGACATGCATGGGTTGTCCAGGAAAGCTCTGACTTGAACATTGGTGAGGGCTGCAGGTAAGAGGGGCTCACTGCCAGCCTGGATGTTATCCAGATCTATGAGATCAGTGAGGGTCTTGGCACCTAGATTGACTTCAGGAGTCTTCCTGACCCTGAAGGAATCGTCACCAACTGATCGTCATGCCCAGATCCTCTCATAAGTCCTATCCAAGATCTTTTTGACTGCCACTCTTCTCTCCTCCTCATCCTTACTGCAGAGCATTGTCTGCAGAACTGCCTCGGGATGAGCATACCAGGAAGATCTCCTCACAGTCTGCTCACAATCTGAACAACCTTCCTTGGCTGACTCCTCAGGAGCTCAAGCTGAAGAGAACATGCCTCGGACCTTCGGAGAACGATGACTTGACCTTGGTGTTGAACCAATTTGGCAAGTAGACACTCACGATGAATTGGACAATAAGTCTCAGGTTGTGAAGCTGGTTTCCTTTCAGTTTATGATGAGCGACCCAAATTCTGCAGAACCTGAGAGCCGTTGTGAGCCACCTAGAATGTGAGACTGGACCTATCTGCAGGTAAGCAAGTCTATCAGGCATGACCCCAGTTTTGATGGCACTGCAAATCATGTAACCATAGTACTGGTCAGTACTCAGGTCGTCAATGACAGTATGTGCAAGCTCAACGAGTGGAGGGCCAACTGTGATTTTTTCAAAGCTCGGATTTATTTCTAACTCAGTGGCAGAGTCCAGCATCTTGCCAAGAGGACCAGGCCATCTGTTGTTTGAAAGAGCCTTGCCATCCAGCTCCTGGATCAGATGTCTGAGTGGCAACTCGTTGGTGTGGAGGTCACAAACAATCCAAACCAGCTTCCTCCCAATCTTCCGCTCTATCCACTGTATGACCCCCCCTTGCCACCCTGTGTTCGTGTTGGTGCTGTCCCCTCCAATGGCCTGCAGGGTCTGGTCTACGTTCCTCTCTCTGAGCCAGTTCACAATGTTATCTGCCACTATCTCAGCTGGTTTCCTGATGTCATCTTTCTCTGGAGTGAAATGCCACAAATACTTCCCTCCTGGTTCACTGCAGCAGGAGTAGTGTTCCTCCTTCACCATGGCAGGGAACAACTTGTCAGAATCTCCAACTTTCATGAACACTTTAGTGTCATCCCTTCTCCCATCAAAGAACAAACAATTGATTCCATTTTCTCTTATCCCCTTATCAAACTCCTCTTCTAGGTTACTGACAAGTTTCTCCTGAGCTCTCCTTACTTTGTTATGATCTATCACCAGGTGAACATCATCAGGTGTTATCAAACCACCGTCAATCCAGGCAGCTGTTGCTATCTCTGCAGTTTCTCTGAGACCAGTGTGGTGTCGCATGCTGGCCAGAGCTATGCTCGGGATATCTTTCCATTTCGAATCTTATGCCTGGAAGGTTTGGGATCATTATTTTCGTTAGGGACAAAGTCACCATTCTCCTGGTCAGCACTCGGATCAGCCATGGGGAAGTCATTAAACTCTGAATCAGCTTGACTCCAATCATCGGCCTTTTTTACCTCACCCTGGGCCTTCTCAAGTCTCTTTTCCTCGGCAACTCTTCTCCTCTTCTGTCTCTCTGTGGCAGCCTCCTGTCTCTTGGACTCCGGAATATCTTGGCTAGAAATCATGAGATCCCCTATACTGCCAGTCTTCTCTCTCTGTGCTTTGACAAATGCCAGTTCGATCACAGGAATCTTCAGTTCACGCTTGCAGATACAGGAGATGTGGGCCTCGGATTTACAGTCACGATCGCATCCAAACTCAGGACAGAGAACAATTGGGCACTTGCAAGTAATTATGTCAAATAACTGGTCCAGTTGCTTGGCAAAGCTGTCCTTAACTGCAAGTTTTCCTCTCCCAAGAGAGATATCTCTTGCCTTTTACCAACTGGCTAGCAGTCTCTCACTAATCTTCTTCTGACTTGTTATGACTGAAGGCTTGAACTGAGCGTTAGCCAGAGTGTACTGTGCCAAGACAGCTTTGGTCATATCACTGGCAATGTCTTTGTTTGTGTAAGTTCTTTGGTTCTTTTCACTGATTTGCCTGATTAAAACACCGTATCTCAAAGCATCTCTCAATGTAGGCAACTCCGACTTCAGGAGCTCTCTCCCAGACCCAAGATAGTGACTGAGATGGCTGGATTTTTGGTTCCTCGTCCTGACACAAGCAGCCATCGCAAATATTATCAACTTATAAATGCATCAGAATCTGAAACAGAAAAAAATATTGTTAGTTGGGTTGTTAAAGAATGAAGTCAGAAAGCAATGTTCACTATTTAATTGTAATGCACTAATGCAGCTGTACGTTAGATTTTCGATAAATTTCACGCTAAAATTTACCTAGCAAAAGGTTGCAAAATATTGAAACTGAAATTATTTTCTGTTTATATACACTAAAATCTACCAAAAAAGTGATGGGCCATTAGTTTTAGCTGATCTTCCCTCCTATGACACACCCTAATTGTGTCAATCTATAGTGAGGTGTCATTATAATTTCTCATCGTTTTCGAAGTTGTAAACCATCGTCTTCAAAATTTTAAACCATCGTCTTCAAAGTTAAAATCATTACTTTCAAAACTTTAAACCATCGTCTTCAAAGCTTTAAGCCATCATCTTCAAATTTTTAAGCTATCGTCATCAAAGCTTTAAGCCATCGTCTTCAAAGTTTTCAGCCATCGTCATCAAGGCTTTAAACCATCGTCTTCAAAGTTTAAACTATCACTTTCAAAACTTTAAAACATCATCTTCAAAGCCTTAAACCATCCTCTTCAATGTTTTAAGCCATCGTCCTCAAAGCTTTAAGCCATCGTCTTCAGAGCTTTAAACCATCGACTTCAGAGCTTTAAACTCTCGTCTTCAAAACCTTAAACCATCGTCTTCAATGGACCAGAGAACTGTTACAGAGAGACATGCTTACCTGTGAAAAATGACGAAGGCAAGTGATAAGAAAATAAGCGAGCGTTACCAGGTGTGTGACAAGACGGAGGAGGATAACTGTGTTTGACGACATCAGTCAACAGGAATCTTTGAGGCTGAAATCGGGAATCGACCTCCGGGTGTTGACGATCACCAGGTCAAGTCCCTCGATGAAAGCCATGATTCCTTTCGTTTACCTAACCTAACCTAGCCTAGCCTAACCTAACCTAACCTAACCTAACCTAACCTAACCCTTAACAACATAAAACAACTCCCACTCTATAACCTGATGGGAATATAAACCCCTAAACTCGATACATAAATATATACACCAGCTTTAATACGAGGATTTTGCATATCTATCGGAGAGATAATTACACGTAACTGTACACGGCCAAATATCGCGTTAATTTAGGGTTTATATAATTGGCAATGACACGCCGCGGCCGGACAATCTCCATCAATTAAGCGGGCACGGGTCAGTTGTCAGCGGGCGGCCCTATGGCAATTTAGCTGACAGACCGACACACAGAATACATAGAGTTACGAGGGGTAAAATTATTACTGTCAAATATCTGGAAATTGAACCCCAGCAACACCGAGAAGTGTGACAACATATGTGAACTTGTCTCTATTGATGTACCGTTAGTTATATGTACCGATTTAGGCCTGTGTTATGGCATTACAGCAACAACAGCACCGTTAACAGCCAATAACAGCACCATACTCACACCCTTTTTGCCGAAGTTGTGAACCAGACAGTGCAGGTACAGCACCATTAACAGCCAACAACAGCACCATACTCACACTCTTGTTGCCCAAGTTGTGCACCAGACAGTGCAGGTAGGCAGCATTACTGGTAAGGCTGGACACGTTACGTGGGGCCGCCTCATCAAACACCGGGTGTAGAGGCATGGTAAGGAGCGACCCTCCGGCCGACCCAGAGGTTAGATCCATCAGGGGCTTGATGGGTTCTACAGGGCTGCTGCTGCTGCCACTCAGGGTCATCCCTAGCTGTGTGCTGGCGCCCTTCATAGTGCTGCTACCGCTGTGGGTGTGGTGGCCGCCGCTGCTGTCTGAACCGCCTCCGTCGTCCTCATTGTTGCTGCCACTGTTCCTTCCCTCTCGCCGACCTGACTGATGCTGCTGTTGTCGCGGCGGGTGCAGCGAGGAGTGCGGCGACTGTAGTGACGACGGCGCCACGACCACCGCACCTGAGGAACACCACGACACAGGTTAATTAATGGTGACACATAGTGAAGAATATGTTTAGTGAATGTGATACAAAGTGAGGAAGAGGAAGAGGAAAATGAAGAGATAAATAACAAATAGCGATAATTTATGCATACTTTTTATAATACACTAAATAAGCATAGCATCAACACTAACCGAACCTAATAACATAACCTAACCTAACCTAACCTAACCTAACCTAATCTAACATACTTAAACGTTTTCCAAATTCCTTAATTAAGGTTCTTCTAAACTGTTATCTTAACTGCTATATAATCCACTGACTGTTAACTGTCCTCGGCGGTTCATTCAGTTGCACGGTGATTGGGAAGGAGGAGGTGAGATCACCCCATTAACTGTTTACTGGTTTATTGACAAAATGGTTCGTGATGCACGTGAAGTGGAAAAGAGAGAGAGAGAGAGAGAGAGAGAGAGAGAGAGAGAGAGAGAGAGAGAGAGAGAGAGAGACTCTATAGAAAGTGAATCTCTACACTCCCTCACTTCTCGCCCTGAAGAATTGACCCACCCTGGGGAGCGGACCCACCCTGGGAAGCTGACCCGACCTGGGGAGCTAACCCACCCTGGGCAGATATCCCACCATGGGGAACTGACCCGCCCTGGGGAGCTGATCCGCCCTGGGGAGCTGATCCGCCTTGGGGAGATGACCCGTCCTGGGGAGCTGATCCACCCTGGGGAGCTGACCCACCCTGAGGAGCTGACACACCTTGGGGAGCTGAACCATTCTGGAGAGGTGACCACCCTGAAGAGCTGAATCGTTCTGGGGAGCTGACCCACCCTGGAGAGCTGAATCGTTTTGGGGAGCTGACCCACCCTAGAGAGCTGACCCATCCTGGAGAGCTGACCCACCCAGGGGAGCTGACCCACCCTGGAGAGCTGAGTTATTCTGGAGAGCTAACCCGCTCTGGGGAGCTGGACCGCTCTGAGGAGCTGGCCCGCTCTGGGGAGCTGGCCTGCTCTTAAAGTCTCGAAGTGAGGGAAAATTGAAAAAAACAAGACAATCTTTTGTCTGAGAAACTCGGACGTGACCTCCCGAAGTGGACGAGCGAATGAGTTAATGCATGAGTGAGTGAAAGTGAGTAAGTGAATTAGTGGATGAATTAGTAAGTGAATTAGTGGGTGAATGAGTAAGTGCATTAATGGGTGAATGAGTAAGTGAATTTGTGGGTGAATGAGTAAGTAATTAAGCACTGTAAGTGGTGTCAGTGAATCAATGAATAATACCCGCAAATTTATCCTTTCCCTCACTGCTACCACCATAAGCACACCTCACTCTCCTCCCCTCACCATTTCTCAGCTTCTCACGTCCCTAATCACCCCTCACTTCTCTCCTTCCTCCCCCTCACATCCCCCCATTTTTTCCCCTACCTCCTCTCACAATCCGACACGCTCTCTTACGCCCCCCCCCTACCATTCCTCACACTCGCTTACATCCTCTCTCTTCTCCCCTTACATCCCCCTCCCTCCCCTCACCTTCTCTCACTCTCCCCCTACCTCCCCTCACATCACTCCTTCTCTCCTCCCCGTCCTTCATCAAGAACGTCGTCGAAGACTTCAGGCGAGAACTTAACACGGTGGAAAATGGTATATTATTCCATCCAGCATCTCAGCCGTGTCTAGACAAATGGGCCTCTGTCCTAATGGGGCCCTATTCTAATAGGTCGCAGTGTAACAGTACTTATGTTTATGTATTTAAATTCATGTAATTATAGTACAGTATTGATTGTACTATCCCTTCCTGTAATATTACTTCTAGAAGAATCCAGCCACACCCCACGACATCACTATGCTTCGTCGGGGTTATTTGTATTTCAGAGCCAATCAGAGGCTACCTCACTCAGTTGGTAGTTGAAAACAATTGAGAATAGTTGTGGTGACGTCCATCTTGTGCAGAGCGCCCCTATAGCATTTACATCAATGATGCCAGCTGGAAGACACACGCCCCCAGTACACAGGTGGGTATCATATTACTAACAGGTACAGATGTGGTGCCATCTATAGTGGGGATTATCTCCCTCACAGTCGATATCACACATCTCTAGCAGTGCTCATCATTAGCACGCGGTTAAAACAATCCTAATGGGGCCCCTTCTCAGTAGGCCCCAGTCCTAATGGGATCTAGTCCTAATGAGTCGAAATCCTTATCATATGGTTCGGATAGATAGATCTGTTAGGAATAGAACCTGATCATAATGGGTGGATTAGTTTAGGGCCCATTGCCGCAATCCCTTATTATGGTCACAAACATACACACACACACACACACACACACACACACACACACACACTTCATCCTTGACCACCGACGGGTCAAGACGGGTCAGACGCGTCAGACGCACCTGTCGCTACTCAGTAGCAGCCAGTCAACTGTTATGTTGGCCCATACCAACTCCCTCCCCAGAACCCTCCTCCCCACCGGAATATCAACATGTTCTCGCCAGAAGTTACTATTTCATTTGGGAAAGGAATGGAACCAGTGTTGAATAGTGGTGAACAGTGCTTAAGGTGTAGGGAACAGATTAGCGGACCCCTCGTAAACTTATTTACAAAATCATTAGACACTGGAGTTGTGCCAGAGTTGTGGAAACAGGCGAATGTAGTACCCATATTTAAAAAGGGAGACAGAGCATCAGCGTCAAATTACCGGCCGATCAGTTTGACGTCAGTAGTGGGGAAATTTCTTGAATCAATTATAGCAGATAGCATCCGATCGCATCTAGAGAAAAGCAAATTAATCTACGACTCTCAACATGGGTTTACAAAGGGAAAATCTTGTCTAATAAATCTGCTAACGTTTTTTAGGAAAGTCTTCGAGGTAGTAGATAATGACGAAAATTACGATGTAATTTACTTAGACTTTAGCAAAGCATTTGACAGAGTACCGCATCAGAGGCTTCTGAGAAAAATTAAGGCTCATGGTATCGAGGGGAACGTTTTAAATTGGATAAAATCATGGCTCACCGATAGAACGCAGAGGGTCAGCGTAGATGGTGTTAAATCTGAGTGGGGCCGTGTAACCAGTGGGGTTCCCCAGGGGTCAGTACTAGGCCCACTCTTGTTCATAATCTACATAAACGATTTAGATACTGGGATCAGCAGTGACATAAGCAAGTTTGCGGATGACACCAAAATAGGGCGGCAAATTAATTCAGGGCAGGATGCAAATGCATTACAGGAGGATCTAAATAAACTGCAAGGGTGGTCTGAAAAATGGCAAATGAAATTCAACACCAGCAAGTGCAGCGTACTTAATATTGGAAGAACAAATACTTATAATGTATACAGCCTGAACAACATCAACCTAGAGAAGTCGACTTGTGAAAGAGACCTAGGGGTACTTGTAAGCCCGGACCTACGGCCTAGAAAACAGTGCGTTAATGTTCGAAATAAATCAAACAGAGTATTGGGTTTTATATCTAGAAGTGTAAGTAACAAGAGTGCAGAGGTCTTATTGCAACTATATCTTGCGCTAGTTAGGCCACACCTCGATTATGCGGTTCAGTTCTGGTGCCCCTATTATAGAATGGATATAAATTCACTAGAGTCGGTGCAGCGAAGAATGACAAAAATGATTCAGGGACTAAGAAACCTTCCATATCAGGATAGGTTAAAGAAAATTTACTTGCATTCCCTAGAAAGACGAAGAGTGTGGGGAGATATGATAGAAGTATTTAAGTGGGTGAAAGGAATCAATAAAGGGGATATAGATAAAGTTCTTATAATATCCGAGCAGGATAGGACTCGGAGCAACGGATTCAAGTTGGATAAGTTTAGGTTTAGGAGGGAGATAGGAAGAAACTGGTTCACAAATAGGGTGGTGGACGAGTGGAACAAGCTTAGCAACTTTGTAGTTAGTGCGGGAACTCTGGAAAGTTTCAAAAGGAGGCTAGATAGATTCATGGATGATAGAGAGTGGTAGTAACTCTCGACAGGAGCTGCCAGGCACAGGCCAACCGGCCTATTGCAGACTCCTTATTTTCTTATGTTCTTCTTATGCTCATTGAAAAACAACTCGGCAGTTGAGTCTTACCCAAGCTAACCTTCACACAGTGAGGTCCCAGGTACCCAGTGATAATTCCCCTGAGACTCCACTATAGAGAGGCCTGGGACCACACCTCACCCACTTGAGTGAGTGAAGTCCTGTGACAACAGACCTCGCAGTGTCCCCATGATGCTAGGACACCCCGTAGTGAATGAGTTGCTACAGCATCATGTGAAGTTCCTCATAACACCATCTGTGAGGGAATTACTACACCACGTGATGCCTCTCATAACACCATCTGTGGGGGAATTACTACGCCATGTGATGCCCCTCATAACACCATCTGTGAGGGAATTACTACACCACATCAGGCCCCTCATACACCATCTGTGAGGGAATTACTACACCACATCAGGCCCCTCATAGCACCATCTGTGAGGGAATAACTACATCATCAGGCCCCTCATACACCATCTGTTAGGTAACTACTAAATCATCAGGCCCCTCGTAACACCATCTGTGAGGGAATTACTACACCACGTCAATCCCCTCACAACACCACCTCTGAGGGAACTAGTACTCCACGTGATGCCCCTCATAACGCCATCTGTGAGGGAGTTACTACACTACGTGTCTGCTGTTCAACACCACAGCTCACATGATCTACGTGTGTAAACATTAATCTGTATGTTCACTGTAATGCCCTTCACCTTCCTCTAATGAAAGCTTTTGTTAAGCCACCAATGCATGTAATCAGTCATTTATGTCCAATGAATATTTTCAGCCTTCGGGCTGCATCTTTTTCAATAAACCGTTTATTATTATTATTATTATTATTATTATTAATACGCACACACAAACACACACACACACACCATCTGTGAGGGAATTACTACACCACGTCAGGCCACTCATAACACCATCTGTGAGGGAATTACTACACAACTCCAGGCCCCTCATAACACCATCTGTGAGGGAATTAC